CGCTAGGACACGGGTGGGGGGGGTTACTTCTTCCGGAGTATTGAACCACCCCCCCCCCCCCCCCAGAGGCGGGGAGGGGGGGGGGGGGAAAGAATATGAGGGGGGGGGGGAGGTTCATACTCCAGGAGTATTGAGGGGGGGTTCATACTTCAGGAGTATTGAGGGGGGGGGGTCTATTCCAAGACTATTGAGGGGGGGGGGACTCGTACTCTTGGGGAGGGGGGGGGTCTCTTTGGGAATGGTTGTTGTAGTATTTTGTCGGGTGAGGAAGAAGGAGCAGGAGAAGGAGTAGTAGTAGTAGTAGTAGCAGGAGTAGTAGTAGTAGTAGTAGTAGTAGTAGTAGTAGTAGTAGTAGTAGTAGTAGTAGTAGTAGTAGTAGTAGTACTACTACTACTACTACTACTACTACTACTACTACTACTACTACTACTACTACTACTACTACTACTACTACTACTACTTACTACTACTCCTTCTCCTGCTCCTTCTTCCTCACCCGACAAAATACTACAACAACCATTCCCAAAGAGACCCCCCCCTCCCCAAGAGTACGAGTCCCCCCCCCCCTCAATAGTCTTGGAATAGACCCCCCCCCCTCAATACTCCTGAAGTATGAACCCCCCCCCCCCTCAATACTCCTGGAGTATGGACCCCCCTCCCGTCCCCTCAATACTCCCGCATTAAGAACCCCCCCCCCCTCAATACTCCTGGAGTAAGGACCCCCCCCCCTCAATAGTCCGAGAGAACGAACCCCCCCCACCCCGCTAACGGCGCTATCTGTGACATTAGGGACACAAAAACGGATCATAGTTTTGACAACCACCTAAATAGTAGGTTGGTGGGGTACATCGTTTTTATGGTTAGTAACCCGCTATTTTTGCACCTGGAGCCCTAGGGGAATCCATCCTGGAAGAAAGAACAACCCACAAAGGCCACAGGAAGAACGATGCCAAGCTATTTCCCCATCACCGTCAGCAGGCGAACCACAACCGAAGCTCTACATGCGGTAACACCATAAACCCAAAGCCCTGTTGGCCAAACCCTGGTATGACCCTTTAAACCCCCTCACCCCAACCCATTAACCCTAACACAAAAATCCTGCAGAAATCCTGGCTTTGCTTGGGGCATGTATAAAAGCCCCGTGCTTGAACAATCCGAACAAGTCTGACTGAGTCCGATATGTTGTAAAGTTAATTAACGAATTATATACCCTAAAAACAATGCCCTAGGCTCCAAAGCTTAGACCCAAAGCCCTAACCCGTGAAGAAACTCCCTGTAACTATCGTAACTAGCCTAGTGGACGACGACGAAGGAGTTGTTGGAGACCTCAGCTGGGGCTTCACAAGCCTCTACAGCCCCAACCGTCACATGTTCCCAGAGGTTATACCCTAAGGCTCCATGTACCCATATGGTAAATACTTAGGCCTTAAAGTACGTATGTAGGGACCCCTTTAAGGCTAAAGTAAGTACTATAAAAGGTACATGGAGCGTTTGGGTTAGGGCATGTCTTGGAGCTCCGAGCTCATCTGCCCTCCAGGCTCCAACACAAAACTTCGGCGTTCGGGATTTTGCCTCAAACAGCCAAACTTCTCGCGCTCCGCCGGCACACAGCCAACGCATCAAGCACCGACAGACAGACAGGCAGACAGGCAGACAAGCAGACAGGCAGACAGGCAGTCAGGCAGACAGGCAGGCAGCCAAACAGGCAAACAGGGAGACAGGCAGATAGGCAGATAGGCAGACCAGAGAGAGAGAGAGAGAGAGAGAGAGAGAGAGAGAGAGATGATAGATACGAAGATAAGATAGACAGAACTATTGATCGAAAGATAGACAGATAGATAGATTGATCGATAGGTAGACAGATATGTAGATAGGTAGATAGATAGGTGGGAAGATAAGTAGATACATAAGGTAGCTTTAGGTTTAAAGGAGCTCCTACGGACTAAGTGCTCAACATCAAAGTATGTTGTGTCAAACTACTGTTGATCATAAAAACCCTGCATTACCCATAACGAGCAACATACCATAGTTCCCATAGTTTAGGGTCCTTAAGGTAAGGCAGGATTTATATCATCAACCGTATGTCTGCGATGACACGGTGCATGGACGCTGGGGCTTTCGACATCATGACATGCGATGAAGAACATTGTGCGTCTCAGAACCGTGGAATCCTGGGCCATTGTTGGTCTGAAGCCCCAAACCCAATATAATCTTAGAGGCCCTGCAAGAAAAACATGATTACGGCTTGTTTTGGAGGTTGCATGAGGTCTATTAGGGGTCTTCCAGGGATAAAAAAAGTATCCGAATGATTAGACTGGGTTTTCGTTTGTGGGGGGACAGGCGAGGGGGCATATTGCGAGTGTAAAGGAACACCATGACTAAGTATGGACCATACCTGTAGGGTCAAACCCTACCCCTTTGTTTGAGGTAAGTACCTAATTTCATGGCTCGGTCCGGTTATTCGGTTATGTCGAAAAGTAAGTACCCTCAAAAAGTGGTAGGGTATGACCCCACAGGTCGAGTGTAGATCCTCAACATCGAGAATCTGCACTCCCGCACACCCGAGTGACCGACTGCACAGCCGATTTCTTGGATGTGGTCCTCCGGGTGCCCAAGCCGCGGTGTCAACAAGGAGTCTTGGGATTCGTTCGAAGGCTCGGGGTTTAGGGCTTTAGAAGTTAAAATTATAGGGTTGTCAGGCTCACCAAACCCGGGACAAACCCTGAACCTTCTGCCTTGGGGCTGGCTTCAGAATGATAGATGAAAGCGGTGGCCTGGAGTGTGGGCAACAAGGGTATTGGTTTCATTGCGAAATTTTTTTCGTTTCCTCGAAATTTGTCCTGATATGGAAACCTAGTCAACGACACAATGTGGCTGCAGAAGTATATGGCTCTGGAACTATGTAGGGACAGCAACCAAAACCTTTCGAAATACAATAAGCACCCCATACGTTGCCTGCCTTAAACACCAAACGAATAACCTAACAAAAACCCGAACTCCAAACATTAAACCCTAAACCTGTATGTAAACCCTAAAGAACCCTAAACCCCAAAAGCCCTAACTCTAAACCTCAAACCCTCTAAACCCCCTAAAAACCCAAAAGCCTCTCTGAAACGAAGCAAAAACCCTCTCGTCGACTCTCGGCCTGGCAACTTCCACCGCCGGCGAATGAAAAATCCAAGGCCGAGCCTCACTACGGTTTAGGCTTTACCCAAAGGCCCCAAAGTAGTTCCTTTTTGGGGGTTCATGTATAGAATCCTATAAGGTAATCCCAATAAGGAACTACTATGGGGCCTCTGGGTAGGCTTTATGGGCATTAGGGTTCAGGTTTTTTGTTTTAGGGTTTAGGGTTTACAAGTTTAAGCTTTATAGGCATTAGGGTTCAGGTTTGTCTTTTAGGGTTTAGGGTTTACAAGTTTAGGCTTGATAGGCATTAGGGTTCAGGGTTTAGGCTTCAGGGCTCAGCGTTTAGGGCTCTGCAGGGTTGAGGGGATTAGATGGCTTGAAACGAACTGCAGAAGTTTTGCGCAGGCTTTCGCTAGAGGGCTTGATATGGTTATTGGGTTTTGCAAAGGCTTCACAGAGTTTAGAAGGGCTTTTCAAAGTCAAGTATGGGGTTTGACGACGGAAAAAGAAGAAACAGCGTCTGGGAGAAAACCCTGAAACTTAACAGAGTTTCAACTCACAAGTGAGAGAGCCGAAAGTAAAAGTTTACACATCATAGCGGTAGGCATCGTAAAAGGAGCGTGTAACTAAACGGCTTGATGGCTGTTGCAGAATCCTGCCTGATACGGAGGTCCTTCGTCGAATACTTGCAGTCAGCACCAGTTTCAAGCGCTTCTGCAATATGGGGCTGCTAAAACTTGGATGCCCTTGCGATACAAAATACACCTCCGCTTCATGAACCCGAAGGTGTACCCAGACACAGTTTGTACTTCGGCCTTGCAGGTTTCCTATTGAATAATACTGCTGAATACCTAGACCCCCAAAAATAGGCAAAATAATGGCCCAAAACCGATACAAGGCTATTATTCTACATACTTTGGGGGGGTCCAGGTAGGTGAAACTCCCAAGACATTGGGGACTGCGCATCGTCGCTGAGGACGCTCAAGCGCTTCTCTTCGTTCCACAGCCTTCCCAGTTGCTGGGTACCCAAAGGCCCCGAAGTAGTTCCTTTTTGGGGTTCATATATAGAATCCTATATATAGGGTAATCCCAAAAAGGAACTACTCTGGGGCCTCTGGGTAGAGGAAACATTTAACTAGCGCGGGGCCTTGAACTTGGAGTGTCACAAATGCTCGCCATGTCTTTGTACGTAGGTGTTGTGACGGGCTTCGGGCTTGGCCATTTCATACTCAGTATACTGTACCCATTATACTATAATCATAGTACGGAACCCACAAAATAGTATTAGTTATTCAGGGCCCTAGATCAACCCTATTACAATCGATCCCTTATATCCCTTTAAAGGGAACCCTACTGTAGTTATTGAGGCCCCTATATTATGAGGGTAGCTAGCTTGTAGAATTACAGAAGGGACTTAACAGGATGCTGATACAAAGCCTAACAAGTGCGATCCTTACTATGCACTAAGGGTCCATGTACCCAAACAGTACATACTTTGGCCTTAAAGTATTCCCTCTTTCCGGTACTTTAGGGCCAAAGCGTTTACTATATGGGACATGGACCCTTAGGCATACGGACCTAAACAAGGTGTTCGTAACTCTGAGAAGTTCCCCGAAGAAGGTGCCATCTTCCTTTGTTAGGTCCCTGACTAGCCACGACTAGCCCCTTCATAAGAAGCGTACCCTTTATTCTTACTATTCGGCTCTGATATTGATGGGAACCTCGAACATGCTAGTGTGGAGACCAACTAAACTAGGAAGGAGGCTTCTATTATCTCGCGAACGATGCTACCATTGAGTATGCACGTAGGCACATTCAGGGCACCTTGCGCCTTGCGGCTGGAGTCATTGTATGTCTTTGATCTTCGCATATCGCTAGACACTCAAGAATAGCAAGCCGGTCTGTGGCCACCGACGCCAAGCTCTTTGAGCACCAAAGACACGACCCATCTCGGCGAATTGCCATGAGGACTCACCCGCTTTATGCTGCGTGTTTGAGCTACTATCGCCAGAGTCTCGGCGAACCCCTCGAAGCAAGTAGTCAACAACAATTCCGTAACATCCCCGTCGTGGAGAGCCGAATTCACATTAGCTTTTTCGCAGAATGAGACGCTCCGGATACTTTCAGAATTGAGGAATGGTCCTAAACCTACAGGGTATATGCCTTACAATCAATCCTGCTTTATAACCCTTATAGACGCCTTATAGTAACCCTTAGAGACCCCATTAAAGGAACCCTCTAGTAATTGAGGGTCAACGTCGATTCCAGGGCATTGCCGGCCTGTAGACATAGCCCTGGCCCACGTCTGCAAGGACGAGGTCTGCCACCTGCGCTCGGACTCGTCTCCGCTATCAGAAAAAGGCCTAGGTAGTGCTACGGGGGGATACTTCCCAAAATCATAGTAACCTGTATTGTAGATTCCCTGCATCCTGCTATATAGGTGCATTGGATCCTTTGGGTAAGGATTCGAGGGTTCAGGGTTTTTGCTGCAGTTTGGGCTGCGTGGAAGCATTGAAGCCAAAGAAGTGTCATGTGCTCGACAGTCTTGAGGCCTATACTCCTATCAACTCCTCCAATAGGTCCATGGGGTGGGAAAACGAACAAGAATCAGCTGAATGCTAAGATGTGAATCACCCTTCAAGAATCACAGAGGCTCTTCTAAACAGGAAAGGATTCCGTTTAAGGTTTAGGGATTCAAGTTTAGGGACTTGGATTCGGATCTGTGGATTCGGCCTGGAAGTTCTTCAACCGTGTCAGGTTTTAGGCACGACAGGCCTGAGCCTGAGCACGCACAGCCACGTAGTGTTTCATCAAGGCATCCGGAGCATGTCAGCATATGCATTCAGATGCTGGATCGGGTCTGTGGTGTAGTGCTTTGTGCATACTTGTAGGGGCCGTATAGAGTAATTACCTCGACACATGAATTCATGTGTCATCCATCGTCAAATAGCTATCGCCAAACGACGCCATGATGATTTCTTGGGCGTCATCTGAGAAAGAGACCATGCGAACTCCGAAGCTTCGTTCCACCCCCTTAACTCTGGCCCTAAAGATCCTGCACCTCCCGACCCCCTAGAGAGCTCACCCCTAAATCGTTACGGAATCCTAGCCTCAACCCCAATCTGGGATCCCTTTTTGGAGCGCCTCCACATTCAGCATTCCAGCGGCCACCTCGTCTCCCAACGGGCTCCGGTGTAGGGATAGTACTACAGACCCCTGATGAATGAAGTCCTTTCTTTCATGAGGCTGATCATAGCAGAATAGCGATCCTAGTACGTTTACATTTTCAGGTCATGTCGTTTAGGGTCGAGGCTTATATAGAGCTTATAGGGTTTAGGGTTTCCATGTGGTCTGAGTTTGGCCCCTTCCTCGACACCGAGTTGTGCAAATGACTTTGCATGGTTCCGATATTTCTCATTGCCGGGTCCCATCTACCATAAAACGAAAACAGCCGTGGTATGCCTTTTTCGCTTGCGACACCTTGTGGAATTTGTCACGCACAAGGTCATGGACAACTATTTCGAGTGCCACAATCCCGAAACCCCACAACCTAGCACCTGGCGTGTTTACAGGTTGAGTGCCAATCCGGTCCCGATGCTGAATTTCCGTAGTGTAAGCCCACTGTGCTGCGTGTCTCGAGAAAGTTTGCGAAAACTAGGAAGGACACCAAAGTTGGGACTTTCGGCATTCGACTCAGGATGTGGGACTTGAAGTAGGGTGTACCTGCACCGCAATAGGTCGGTCAAGGAGCTTTTCGCGACAATCAGGCTGAGAATGGGCGTACTAGATAATGCACACCCCGAAGCCAAGGCCCAATCAAACTATCCTATATCTCAAAGGCTCAACCCTGCACCTAGGCCTCAAAAGGCCCAAGCCCTATGTCTAGCTGAGTGCGTCGGCTTCCAGCAGATCTTTCACCGCGCCGCGCTTCGGGACGCGGGCGCAAATCTGGGTCAGGGGCTCTTGGGGTTCAGCGGTCTTGAGTTTCGGGTTTGGGGCTTTAGGGCTCTGTGCTTAAGGCTTGTAAGGATTTAGGAATTGGGGGTTTGTGAAGGATACTAAACCCTAAAGCCTATTATAGACCCTAATTAGACCCTAAACCCAAAACCCGAAACCCTAATTCCTATTCCGACTCATATTTTCGATAGGGTGCCTGTAAAGGGTCTTTAGCCCAGACAGGAGGATTCATAAGTTTAACTATGTTGGGTTTAGGGTAAAGTTTAAATTTAGGGTTTAGGATGGTTTGTGGTTTCGGGCTTGCTCTTCATGGCTTAGGGTTCCGGGGCCCTTACGCCACGAAACTTTAGAGGTGGCCTTCGTCTTGGGCCAAGAATTCAGGGCCTCCTAAGGTTTGGGGCAGCCGGTCACGTGACAGCCCAAGCCCAAGCAAAACCTACGGCAAACCCCAAAAAGTTGGACACCGGATTTCAGAACAATCAGTGCTGGGATTCCCTGTAACTCTGCATTCGAAACCCCTGCCAGGAGACGGACTGATATGAGGGGACCATGGCGGGAGCTACAAAAAAGAAGCTTTCGAGAGCCCGGGAAGGCCCTAAACATCTCCAACACACATCCCAAATCTTAAAAAATGGTTCATGTGCTTCAAAAATCCGACCGCGCCCCTGAACCTCAAACTCGAAACCTCTAAACCCTACGGCCCGCCAAAAAGCATTGAACGTACCGAGTTTGGCACCTTGCCTCCACTATGTCGGATCCTTGGACACTTCGGGTTTAGGGTTCCCTAAACCCTAAACCCAAGACCCTAAACGCAAGACCCTCGTCTGGCAGCCGCACGCGAATCATCCGTCTGTCTGGCTCGGAGCCTGCAAAATGACGATGCGAAATGGCAAGCCCTACGCGTAGCCTGGACCCCAGATAGCCTACCGCCTTAATGACTTATGATAAAAAAGGAAACCATACTAAGAAACCCTAAAAAGGGTAGGTTCTTTAAAAGTCCAGGAAACAGTAACCCGAAAACCGTACAGGGCTGGATAAGGCTTCGATTGTCTGGAGATGTTGGACTCTGCTCGCCAGTCACCTCTTCAAAAAGAAAGTAATGCATGCTATGTCCGGGAAGCCGAGTTCACTACGAACGGCATAATGGGCAGAGACTTGGCCAGGAATGCTGCGCAGAACTCCTGCAACAAACTTTTGACTCCAAACCGAGCTAGCTATGGCTGACCCGACTCACCCTGGACCCTGCACCTCCGACCTTGCACAAAAGAACAGACCTAAGCCCCTCCCTCTCGCCTTCAAGCTGACATCCAAGCATCAATCCATCGAGAGCCCAACACCGCACGGAAACCCCAGGGCCTTTCAGACACATATATATATATATATATATATGTGTGTGTATATATGTATATATATATATATATATATATATATATATATATAGGGTTTAGGGTTTAGGGCATATAACGCTCTGTCAACACGAATTTTCGCCGACATCTAGCCCAAACTCATGATGGTGCAAGCTTTCTAGGTTCCGAAGATTTCGACGCATATCCCCCAGGACCCTCCTTGTACCCTCAAATAGGGGTATACGGTCCCAAATAAGGGGCATTTAGGGTCTAATAGAGGGTAGATGGAGGGTCTAGGCCAGATGTCCAGCCAAGCCACGTGTGGCCATGACGACCATGCAGGTGATCCACCCTCAAATCACGAACGCAAAAAAAGGAAACCTAATATAAGGGTTTAGGGTTTAGGCAAAAAAAGCCAAAAAAAACGGAAACCTAATATAACGGGGTTAATAATTTGAATATAGTTTAGGGAGTAGATTTTACTAGAATTAAGATAAGGACCCCCCCCCCCGAAACAGCATAGACATGAGGGTCCTGTAGTACATCAGTGGACAGGATCGCGAACCCTGAACTCCCGAAAGGCTCCTAGATACCCTGATGGGAGGCCGAAAGGGGGTTTAAGATTCTTGGGGTACCTTAAGCCGGAATAACCTACCTTTTTAAGGTTCCTTATTATGATTTCCTTATATAAGTCCTTAAAAAGGTAGGTTATTCCGGCTTAAGGTAGGGATTACTTAATATGAACCCTGTTCTGGGAACCCCAATCCCTACTAAACCCCCATGGGCCAAAACCTATGATAGGGCTTCCCAGATCCTCGGGAGGATCTAGAATGTAGATCCCCTAATTTGGGGCCCTTTTCTACTCAGGGTACTTTATAGGAACCCCCATTAAGGGATCTACTTTTTTGGATCCTGTCGGGGGTCTGGGTTCCTGATAGTTTCCGCGGCCTCAGACTTGCTGCTCATTGCTTGCTCAGCCATAAGCATACAACCCTAAACCCTAAACCGACCCTAAACCCTAAACCCTAAACCGACCCTAAACCCTAAACCCTAAACCCTAAACCGTCCTTCCGAGATAGGGTCGATCCGAAAAGCCCGACAAGGGCCTGAAAGGAAGAACATCACAAAGGGTTTAGGGTTTAGGGTTTAGGATTTGCTCGTTTCAGGGCTTACAGTCTTCAACCACCTCAGTCCTGAAATCCAAAAACACTAAGGCCCCGTCTTCAACCCCTCAGTCCTGAAATCCTAAAACACTAAGGCCCCGTTTTTTTCACACCCTCCGTCCTGAAATCCTAAAACACTAAGGCTGTAAAACTGCCTAGACCCTAAAGCACTACGGCCCTGAAGCCCCAAAACCTACGTGCTGAACCCTCAACCCTACACTCCGAAAGACTGATGCATGCTATTCGCGTGAACATAATTTAGGGGGCCTTGATTGATTGATTGATGGCGGACTGTCGAGCTTCGGGCCGCTTGTGGGCGACACGGGGAAGCGCGTCCCAAAACTACATGCTGAATTCAAGAGTGAAACGAACAGGAGGGCCGCTGCTGCCAGTAGGGACGAGTCTGTGGCCGAGTTTCCTGACTGCGCCCCTGTAGATAGTCCTGAATCCAAACAACATGAGCTGCGAGCGGTTGGAAGGAAGGACGAAGAGCGGACAGGAGAACCTCCTCGCTGGAGGTATCGGACAAGCCTCGTTCCTCAGCAGACGGCAAAGGCGGGCCAAGGATGGAGGGCTGGCCGGACCCTTAGCCCTGTAGAGCTGCCATTGCCCCTTGCGAACCGCTGCGGTCCTGGCGGTGACCTCAGTCTCAAGCCTGTGAATCTCCTCTATTTCCAAAGGGCGATAAAGGTGGAGGCAGCGGACGAGACAGGAAGGAAACCGCTTAAGGTGCAGTTGGGCAGAGACAATGTCAGGGAACAATTTGAGACACGATTGACACACGGTGGAGATGGCGTAGTGACGCGCAGGGCTGTAGATCTGGTGAGCCTTGGCCATGTGGGCATACATGTGTTTCCGAAGCGGGAAAGCGCTGTTGCATGCATGGCACTGATAGGGCAGGTCTTCAGTACTGTGTGCGGGAGACCTGGGAGCTTTGGCTGTCCGGTTTTCGTGCCAGATGTCCAGGTCCCTGAGGAATGCCTGGCTGGCAGACCGGACCAGACGGGGCCACCAGGCCGAATCCTGCACAAAGGCTTCGAGTATGCCGGGAACTACTGCAGAGTCCCCAAGCAGGTCTCGAACCTTGGGCAGAAAAACCGCTACAGCCTGAACATCCTCGCTGAGTTGGCCTAGCCATGACCTGGCTGGCGCGGCGCGCCAATGGTCCCACAGAAGGGCAATCAGATCGTCCGGACCATGCCTGAAAAGCTTGGCGAGACAGACAGCCCTAGCATGTGCGAGTGCCAAGGGAGGTGAGGTGGCCTGTGGGGGCCTTAGTAATTAGAATAGGGTTTGGGGTAAAATTATACTAATACTGTAGTTATAATAGGGAACCCCCAAAATAGTGTAGGTAATTATCTAGGCCCCTATAGTACTTAGGCCTAAGCTTTGGGGAACAGGAGTGGGAGGTGGGCTTGAGTCCGCTGGCTGAGTTCCATCATCACTAAGACCATATTGGCTTTGAGGCTTTTGGCTGAGTGGGCTTGAGGTTCCCCTTATCCGGAAACTTCCTACAACCCCTCGGTCCTCATCAGAAATAGCTGAGATCCCAAATCTCATATTCAGATCCGCCACTTAGACCCCAGCACCAAAGCCCCAACACCAAAACCAAAAGCTAAACACCCCGAAACAGAAACCTGAGCCAGACATCTTTTTAGCTCTACTCATCCGAACCATCCAGGACCCGGGCTGTAATCGTGCTCCGGGATGGGTATCGGAAGGAAGCTGAAAGCCTCGAAGGACTTGTTGGTGTAGCCTGCGCATCGGTTTAGGGTTTAGGGTGCCAAGGCCATGTCATAACCACCCTAACCCCGAAACCCAGCCCTTTCTCAGGTCGAAGCCTTCTGCGTGTTGGTTTATGTTGGTGGAGAAGGAAGTTGATATTGAGGCACCCACCACTTGTCCAGTTTCTTAGGGCAAACTAAGTTAAAGTCAACCTTCTGCAAAATGGCCTCGAGCGACCCGTCTGCGCTACACTACATCGCAAGCAGCATCAACCCAACACAAGGACCTAGAATCACACGCGCAAGCCCGAATGCAAGTTTACCTTATCCTTGTCACCGGCCAAGCACCCAGAAGACATGCGGCCAGAAGTGCAGACCAATCTCAAGACTTTCCTCCTGCAGCTTCTGTAAGCTGTCACTTACAAGGAACCCCTAGCCATGTATCCTACTACATACGTTGAACTATAAGGTCACTAGTTATACGTGGAACCCTTTAAGGTGCAGGTATACACACATGCACTATATTAGAACATGGACCCAGAGTTTGGATGTTACTGGAAGTCTATAAACTTGTGACAACCCTCCACCCATAACCAAAACGCTCAAGGGTATAGTATACGGCCACTGTCACGGTAAGGGCTAGCGGCTACTGCACACCAGCCTACCACAAAGGAACCCTACCAGCCTACCCAGAGGCCCCATAGTAGTTCCTTTTTGGGATTACCCTATAGGAATCTATATATGATCCCCAAAAACGAATTACTTTGGGGCCTTTGGGTACCATAAAGGAACCCTACATTTCGCTGGGAGCCCGCGCCGCATCTCTGACATCTCAGAGTGGAGCAGAACTGGCCCGAGAAGAGCGCCGCGACGGCCGAGCGCTGACGCAGAGGATGGGAGTTTAGGGGTTTAGGGGTTTAAGGTTTAAGGGTTTAGGGTTCAGGGTTTGTTGTGGAACCTTCTTTGCCAATTTACATGTTTGTTTCTTGTTTTGTGTTAAACTTGTTCTTTGTCTTATTTGTTGGCTGGGTTATTTAGGTATTTGTGAACTTATCTGTTTCTTTAACGCTTTTCTTGTATGCCTGAAGGCAGGGGAGGTTTGGGGCGTTGAGGGCTTGGGTTGTAGGGGAGTGGGAGTTGGATTTCGGGATGTCGAGTTTGGGCAATTGGGCAACGTTACCGTGCAACACGTAACATGTAGGGGCTGCTTAGAGTTTTCATGTTTTGATCCTTGGATACACCCCTGCCCCTGGTCCGGCAAAACCGTCGAGCTTGCTCAATCATTGCCCAGAGGCCCCAAAGTAGTTCCTTTTTGGGATGACCTTATAGGATTCTATATATGAACCCCGAAAAGGAACTACTTTGGGGCCTTTGGGTGTAGTTGACCTGCAACTTCACACACGACGTCAGCATTTAGAACCTGATAACTCGCGAAGCGCATCCACAGAGCCCCAGAACGATAAACCTGGTGTGTAAGAGGTGCCCCTTGAATCCTTGCCCCATACTTCCCAGCACCATAAAGATGCTCTAAAGTCTAATTTTAAGAAACATAAACAAAACCGAAGCAATATGCTCACACATATTCCAAACTATCAGCTCAGCCTAAGCCCACCAACCACCAAGCCCAAGGCCCTGAAGACCTCAGTAGCATTGGCATTCATACCGATATCATGGTTTCCATGTCCGTAATTTCCTTAGGACTTCCATCCAGAAGCCCTACATGCCTAAAATCTTGCGTCCCTTAATCTAAGCCCCGACCCGTGTTGTGAAATCCGCAAGAACCCGACTGAAATCCTCACTAAAGCAAACTACGGCACCCTTAATTCAAACGGTCTCCTAATGATGCCCTTTGTTTGGCCAAGCCGCCCGAAAAGAAAGCAAACCCTTATGACATCCATATCAGGCTCTTACTTATGAAAGCCTCACAAAACCATATAATCAGGATCATAGGACTGCCCAGAGACTCCAAAACCCCTTAATTAAGGAATATACCTTAAATTGTAATAGGATTTAAGGAGTATTCCGTAATTAAGGGGTATTGGAGACTCTAGGCTCCTTATGAAACCTTTGGGACGGGGATACCAATTAACCACACAACAACCCAGACCCCCGGGAGGATCCAAAAAGTAGATCCCTTGATGGGGCTATAAAGTACCCTTAGTAGTATAAGTAGATCCCTTCATGGGGGTTCCTATAAAGTACCCTTAGTAGTATATGACCCCAAATTAGGGGATCTACTTTCTAGATCCTCCCGGGGGTCTGGGAAAGCAAGGTCCGACCTCACGGAGGCAATGGGATTGCCAGTACTCCAAGGCGACCTGCGTGTTTCGTAAAGCCTTTGGGTTTCGGGTTGGTTACCTTAGGGTCTATAAAACCCAAGGTTCCTTGAAGTATAGGCTTTAGAGTAGAGTAGCTTGAGGATTGCTCCTTTAGGCTTCCTGGTCGGATCATAAAAGAGTTCTATCTTAACAGGGGTCATACTGTTGATAGGCAAAATCCTGCATGACCCTAAGGACTCTAAACTATGGGAACTATGGTATATTCCTTATAATGAGAAATGCAGGATTTTGTCCATCAGCAGTAGGCATTCAACGACCCGACTTCCTTGTACTCAACACTGACAGCCTAGACACTTGCAGGGCTGCACAGTAAGATTCAAAACACCACCTTAATCCCTGAACCCGAAACGACTTGCGTCCATGATCTAAAATTCTAAAATCCGCGTGCGACAGGCCGTTTTTTTGAGAGGGGCGGGCGTCCTAATTGCAGAATCGTAGCGTACACGGACCGTCTTGCTGAGGATACTCTGTTGAGTTGCTTTTGGTACCCAAATCAAGGAGTGTGTAGAGTGGGAGTTAGGATTTGGGGGACCCTTGGGGAAATAGACCCTCCCAATAAGGCCCCTTTTAAGAGAGCCAGAAGTAGGGTTCGGAAGGGGTACCCTTCAAGGGGTCTCCCTAATAATACTACCTATCTTAGTTGCCGAGTTTATAAGCCCAAAAAAATTTTAACTTTCAGTTTTAAGAGGGTTTCATTATCCGAAAAAGTTTAAAGTTTATAAACTCAGCTACTAAGCTATAGAGGGCTTCAAGAACCCAACCCACAAGTCGGCCGGCCTCCTCGTCGGGACGACTCTCTGAGTCCTCTTGGGCGGGAAAGGAAAATGAGCGGTTTGTTGCCGTCTAATGGGTGTTATGAACATGCTCATAAGCTTTTTCGATGAGACTTTTGAGCCCTAAATCCTGAACCTCAGAGATTTCAGATGCAATAGGGCTACGTACGGTCTGAATGTTAAGGGTGATGAGGCATCTTGTACGATTGTTGCGAAGTTCCACAAAGTTTTCTGATCTTCTTCAAGCAGCCTGAGGAACTGGACATGTCTTGTTCTTTATCATAAGGCCTTGTCAGGTCCCATAGCGCTTCTACAGTGCTCTGAATATTGGCCTCAAGGCTTTCGGAAAGGTTGCACAGTCTACTTTTGGTATTGGCATACATACAATGTGAGGGTCTGAATGATCAGCAGTAACCGTTCCTGAGCAGGGCCCCTTGTTTTTCCTGCAAGATGTCTAGAATACGACCCCAAAGCCCTATACTCCGTATCCCTCATGATTCCGAGGGTCGAACTAGCCGAGAGCGGGGCCAGCTGTCGCATGTTGAGGATTTACGGATATAAGGCTTTGTCTTTAGGGTCGGTATAGCGGGCTCAGGTCCGGAGAATAATTCAGGGTTTGGCTCAGGGTTTAGGGAACGTTTTGGGGTTTACCCAAAGGCTCCATGTACCTTTAGAGTAGATACTTAAGCCTTAAAGGGGTCCCAATATAGGTACTTTGAGGCCTAAGTACATACTATATGGGTACATGGAGCCTTAGGGTTAGGTATTCGGCGTCATGTCGATCTCTCACACCAATGCTGCGGCCCCCCGACCCGAACCTGTAAGCGAAATGCAATAGGCTTTCGGTGTACCTTATGCTTTAATCCTATAGTGTATAGCTATATATATATATATATATATATATATAAGGACCATATAAATAAGGGAACACCACAAATTATTCGGACCCCGACATTGCCCTAAACCCTAAAATCGGCAAAACCACAGATCGGAGAGTCCTTCAGCTCTCTGTAGGGCTTCACTGTGGTCCTGTTCACATCGTCGCCTTCACTGCCGGCGTAAGGAAATCTTTCTGTGCCCAAGTGTGATCGGATTGGGGCTCTGATAACTAGCAGAAAGCTTGGGGGGGGGGGTCCATTTCGGGAGTTTCCGAAAATCAGGGGTACCTTCTTCGGGGGTCCTTAAAATATGGATCCTATTATTTAGGTACTACATTAGGGTCCCACATTTTCGGAAATTCCCATTTTTTCTTATACGTATATCAAGGACCAGCAATCCTAAATAATGGGCTTTCAGGTAGCACTCAGCCACTATGTTGCCTGAGTCGACAGTTGAATCCTGAGCATCTAAGCATGGTGCTTGGTGCATGCTTGATTGGGGAAAAGATCCCTCCCTGAACCTTAAGCCTCAAGCCCTCATCTGAAGATACAGTGGACCTCACCTATAGTCTCCATTGTAGTTCCTTTTTTGGGTTACCCTATAGGATCCTTAATATATAATTGGTTAAACCAAAAAAGGGATCTGCAATGGAGACTATAGGCACATCTTGAACAACATCGACCTTCAAAGCTGACAAAACACTCACAAAATATAGGGGCCTTAATTATTAGAATAGGGTTTTGGAGGCCCATTACACTATAATTCTAAGAAGGAACCCCCACCATAGTATTGGTAATTGTTTAGGCCCCTATATTATAGCAGCCTTATAGATCCCTTATAGTAACCCTTGTAGACCCCTTTAAAGGAACCCTAGTAACTCCGAGCAGAACTCTTCAAAACCTATTACACGACCAATCCGGAGGTCCATTTCATAAACGCCCAGACACCGAAAATCACCTAAACCCTAAACCCTGAAACCAAGGAGATTTCTTAGAGCCGGATTTTAGTTTCGAATTTAGGAGCACGAGGTCTTAGACATCGGAGGTTGAGGGCATTTAAAAGGCATTCAGGGTCTCACTTTCATCGGAGAGCTTGGAGAGAGCCATGTTCTGCAGAGGATGCAGATGGGCTCCAGCATCATCTTGGTATTCTCTTTCAGCATCAGACAGGTGCTGGCCTGCAGATGCCTTAAATCCCAAACCCGAAACCCTAAACCGTAAACCCTACCTAAACTAAACCCTGAACCCTAAACCCTATAATTGAACTAAACCCTTAACACCCCTTAGCCCAACCCTAAACCCTACTTAAACTAAGCCCTAACCCTAAGGGTCCATGTACCCAAATAGTATATACTTTCGCCCCAAAGTACCTACATAGGGACTACTTTGGGGCCAAAGTATATACTATTTGGGTACATGGACCCTAAGGGTAACCCGACAAGGTCCGAACCGCACATCAAGGCCCAAGCTGAGCCCAGCCAAGAACATGGAGAGGAACTCCTGCGCATCCTGGCATTCCGAAATCACTGGTCCATGTGCCCAAATTTCCGAAAATACAGGAACCTGTTTTAATACCCTGAATAGCAGCATCCTTATGACCAGGACCCCGAAACAAGGTACCTCTAATGTCGGAAACTCCCGACTAATATATACTTTAGCGCTAAAGTACGTATGTGGAACTACGTTCAGGCCAAAGTAGATACTATATGAGCACATGGATTCCTTATTACATTTATAGTATAATGGGCCCCTAAACCCTATTCTATCAATTAGGGCCCCTACAATACAGTACCCTTCTAGCTCCCTTACAGTAAACACTCCATCCGAGCCCTTTCGAAGCTGAGTTTAGGCTGGGGGGCTAAGGGTTTAGACGGCTTGTCGTACCCTTATAAGTCCCTTATAGTAATTAGGGTTTAGGGTTTAGGGTTTAGGGTAATCCTTATAGGAATCCTTTTGAAAGGAACCCTTAAGGATCTCTTAAGGATCACGGTTTAGGGTGTTTTGGCTTGGCCTAGGGATCAGCCCTTTAAAAGGGCTTTGGGCTATTAAGGGCTTGCCATATTGCTAAACGCTAAATGGTCAGTGTAATGATGCTGTGGTTTTAAAGAAGTTTCGTTGCAAAGCGTTATATAGCGTATGTTAATCATATATGTCGCTACATGCTGAGCTCTTGGTTTCGGATTTGAAGTGTTCGGAAGAGGTTGTGCCGGGCATACTAGTAAGCTTCAGGGCTTGGGGATTCGGGGGCCGTTGATGCAGTCGCCCAAGCACATCCCCCCACAGTCGACGGCCGGAGGTCATTGCAAGCGGTTGCGTCACTTCGCTGTAGCACCGGCTGAAGACCCACTCCTGACCGCAAGCTTCCAACGTGACATTGCCGAACACAAATTGGCAGCTCCGACGGGCCGTCTTCGGTCTGCAGCAGCCCTCGGCCGGTGCAGGAAAGGCAGAGGTTGCAGAAAGGTCGGCCCGATCCTCGCCCGCGATATGTGGCCTGTCTCTGTGGCAAGGACGAAAACCAAGCAGTAGAGGTTCAAGACCCGGCCAGCGCACCCGTCCCGATCGGGATCCGCGGCGGGCATGAGGGCCCATGTCCAACTCACCTGGGCCGTCCAAGCCGGCGGGATGCGGAACAGAGTTCGCACGGCGCAGCGCCGACTATGGTGTCGGGCTATGGCTTCCACATATTGGGGGGCTTTGAGGGTTGAGGGCTTTAGGGTGTTAGCGTGTTGGCATTTAATTTTGGGTTTTATTTAGGATCATAAACATAATAGAAGCAATATTAATAACAACAATAAGAACAATGACGATACTATATCAAAAGTAATAATACCTTAGATCTTGAAGGGCTGTATAGAACTTATCAACTGTAAGCGCGACGTCCAGAGCTTTGAATCGAGTCTCAAAGTTCGCCTCACAAGCATGGGGAACCCAAAATCTAATCTCGGCATCCACCCTCAACCACCAATCCTCATGCCCGACGAGCCCCAAGTTATCAACTCGAAAGCTGTAAGCCCTGAAATCCTGAAACCTACCTTGGGTACTGCCCCCATACAGTAACCGTCCATAATAGGGCTACGATTAAGGCCCGAATATATCCATGTTAGGAATATTACCCAACTGTCACTGAGTGCGGGCAGTACCCAAAACCTACCCATAGTCTCCATTATAGCTCCTTTTGGGGGGGGAGCCTCAATCTAAAATGGCTCAATCACAAGCGGAACTGCAGCGCAAACTGTAGGTAAGACCCCAAACAACAGACCTCAGAACCCTAAGTCCCCAAAACACTAAGGCCCGCAGTAGACCTCAAAAATCCGAAGTCCCTAAAACCCTAAGACCCTTACTTCCAGCCCCCTCGTCCTGCTGCTTCCAACCGGCGAATTGAGGTTTGAAGTCGGAAAACAGCCCTCGGCGTCAGGGTTTTTGTTGCTAGAAAGGTCGTTGGAGTTTAGGCTTTCTTTGTGCTAAAGTCTTTGGAGTTTAGGGCTTTGCTGATAAAATAGTCTGGGAGTTTAGGGTTTCGTCTCGGAGGTTTTGGGGTTGAGGGTTCAAGGTTTAGGTTCCGTTAAAGCCGAAGGTTTGTCGCAGGTGCAGTGAGACTGTTTCGATTTGCCAAGTTTCGGGGTGCTGGGTTTAGGGCTGAGGGTACAGGCTTCCAGTTCCACTTAGTTTACCTGTAGTGTTGGATGGAGTAGCTGCGTAAGCAAAAAAGAGAAACGGTGATCACTTTATTTGGAGTTGAGAATTTCAAAAAAGAGTGAGAAGCGGGCTCAAAAATGGACCCGAAATTCGGACCCGGTTTTTAGTGCCTCTGAGTATTAGCACACTTCCCGAGGGCTCAGAAAACGGCCGCATTTTTGGGCCTGCGTTTTGGTGGCGGCGAACCACTTGCGAGCTCATTTTTGAAATCGCACAATCCAGATGCGGAGCGACCATTTCTTCAGCAAGATGCAGCCGGAGAACTCGAAAGTGTAGCTAGTAAATGCTTGGTTAACCAGTTTTATGGTTAGGAACCTATAATAGGGATTTTGGATAACCACAAAAAGGAACTACAATGGAGACTATAGGTAAGGCTGGTTTCGGGTTCAGGGTCTAAGTTTTGGTCTTCGGATATAGGGTTCACCGTTCAGGGTTTGGGGTTGGCCTGCAAAGCAAGCTCCAAACACTACACACTGTGACATCTAAATACCTTGTATACAACCTGCGCTGAACTCCAGTAAAGCCCTAAAGCCCTCAACTCTAAAACACCTTAAGCCCTAAATCCCCAAACCCGAAATCCCAAAACCGACCCTAAAACCCTAAAGCCGCACTCCCTAGACTCCGGGTCATGAAGCCCCCCTGAAGCCTTCAAAGGGGCCGCCGAAATCTGATCTTCGGTCCCAGGGTCGCTTGAAGTCTCGTGGTGCCACAACCCGAGAACCTCGCAGCAGTTGGGGTCAGGGTTTACAGCGGTTTAGGGTTTAAGGTTCAGGGGTTTAGGTTCAGGGTTTGGGGTTCAGGGTTTAGGGCTTAGGGTTCGGGGGCTTAGGGTTTATATAAGGTTTCGGGCTCGTATAATGCTTTCAGGTTTAAGGTTTATAGGGCTTAGGGTTTAAGTTTTTTGTTGTGAGAGCTCTTTTGTGCCTGCACGGAGGCTCGGCCAACGCAAACATTATTTAAGCCGAGCCAATTCAGCCCCCTGTCACAACTCCACTTGCAGGGAGCAGAAGCTACTAAAAAGGCTGAACCCCTACCATCTCAGATAGGCCAAGGTTTACGGCTTAAGGTTTCGGGATTAGAAGTGAGATTACAAGACAACCCACTGGCATGTAAAAGCTAGAAACCCATCAGTGGCAGAAGCCAAAGAGGCTGCTGCCAAAAGGGCTGGTTCAGGGTTTGGAGACACCCACAACCAGAAGTGACATCTCGATTTACTCCCTCCTACAACCACCACCACGACCACGACAACGACCGCGACAACGACCACTGCGATTGCGACTGCTACTGCTACAAATACTGCTGCTGTTAATTCTACTGCTACGACTGCTACCGCTACCGCTACCGCTACCGCTACGGCTACGGCTACGGCTACGGCTGCGGCTACGGCTGCTACTGCTACTGCTACTGCTACTGCTGCTGCTACTGCTACTGCTGCTGCTCCTGCTCCTGCTCCTGCTCCTGCTCCTGCTACTGCTACTGCTACTGCTACTGCTACTGCTACGGTTGATGATATAAATCCTGCGTTACCTTAAGGGCCCTAATCTGTGGGAATTATGGCATATTCCTTATTATGGGTCATGCAGGATTTATATCATCACCCGTACTAGCCACTACTACTACTACTACTGCTGCTACTACTACCACTACTACTATAGCTACTACTACCACTACTACTACTACTACGACGACGACTACTACTACTGCTACGACTACTACTACCACTACTGCTACTGAATGTGCCAGGCAGGGCTCAGCACAGTGCACAAACACTTGATCTTAGACGACGAAATCCAGCAACAATATTCCGACGCCCTGAACATTAAGGCCATAAACCCTCAAACCCTAGACCCCCGGCACTGAAAATCCTAAGCCCGAAAATCCTGACCCCAAACCCTGCAAATATGAAGGGCAGGCCTTGCGTCCGTGCTTCGTGCATGTCCTGGAAAAGATCGGCGAAAGCGATCGCCAACTTTCCGGCCTGGGAAGTTCGTTTAATAAGGGGGTTTAGGGTTTATGGGTTTAGGGTTTCGGGGTTTATGGTTGGGCGAAGTAATAAGTACCGTGGGGTTTGCGGCAATGCAAGATTTACGATGTTGTAAGTACGAAGGAGCCAGGAGGATTTGTCAGGCCTTTTGTGTAGGACTTTTTTCGGCCGCTCAAACAGGTCTCAATATTCAGGCTCTTGGTCTACTGTAATACTAAGGGAACAATAAGGAATACTGCGCATACTATGCTGATTATTGTGATATTCATAGGAACATCCTACATGAGACCCAGAACCTGTATATAACACCACAGGTTAACCTTTAGTTCCCAAGTGATACTGGACAAGTAAGTGTGGGCACTTCTTTGAAATTGGGGTCCACTAAAAGGGATCCTAACTTAGAGAACTGCCCTTTTCAGCACCTGTGGATTAGGGTTTGTGTTTCAGGGCTTGCGGTTTGGAACCTCTCTGCTCAAGGGGTTTATCCTCGATCGACATGTCACAGCGAACTTCGTAAAACCTACAACAGGGTTTCCCATAGCCAGAGAATGGGCAAGGTCCACAGTCGAAACCGTTCATTCCAAGTTAATTCAACCCTATCACCTCAAGCATGGGGCCATCGAATATGGGCGTGGCTTCCCTCCCTCGTACATTGCATGACCTCGAGACAGATGCATGCTTACCCAGAGGCCCCAAAGTAGTTCCTTTTTGGGACTACCTTATAGGATTCTATATATGAACCCCAAAAAAGAACTACTTTGGGTCCTTTGGGTAGGTATGATAGTACCCCAAGAACGTTTCGTGTAGCCTAGCCTACTAACTACAGAGCATGTTAAGGAAAGCCCTGACCCTAAACCCTTAACCCAACCCCTACCCCAGAATCCAAGGAGACCCCAAAGGTCCTATGTACTGTTATGGGGGATACTTCCCTAAGTCATAATAGCAATTCCTAAAATAGAAACCCTACATTCTACTATAAAGGTACTTTGGACCCTTTGGGCCAGCCCCCAGACCGAAGCGCCGCCACCGCCGACCCTTATGGCACAGGGCCTGGAGTTTCCAAAAGCGTCCAAGTATCATTATCGCAGGTGTTTTGGCCCAAAGAGGATATACCACACCATTACTTGGACTCTGTGGGTTTAAGATTTAAGATTTAAGACTTGCAGCTTAGTTTTAAGGTTTTAGGAGTTATCAAACCTTGTCTGAACTCCGAGCCAGAGGCATTCCAAACTCAGTAGAGCGAAAACAGCAAGGCTCGTAAACCCTAAACTCACCCCCCCAAGCAACAAACACGGGGGCACGGCCATACCCCACTTGCTCGCCAAATTCACGTCGTAAAGATACCTTCCACGATCTCACAAGCGTCGAAGATGGATGGTTTAAGGCTTCATAGCTCTACCTTGACCCACCAGCACCTACTTTTTTTGCAGGGCCCCCAATGATTAGAACCTACAGAACATTAGGTTTTGATAGGCGAAGGTACAGTGTACACCGCAAGCCCGAAAGCTTCTATAACCTTTGCCTCGGCCCGGAACACATATCTAAGGAATTGCATAGGGACATCACGAGGAGGATTCCGTTAAGGGCTATAAATTACTATAAGGGGTACGACAACGGTTACTATAAATGATACTATGCGATGCAAGACGCTGCCGCACGTGCGACTTAGCTCATCTGATGCATGTCATGTGCGCACATCCGTCTGCTTCCGCCAAATCACACAGCGTGGCTGCTACTTCTGGTAGGTGCCAGCTTGCAAAACGAAGCCCCTTGTGCTCCGGCATCGCTGCCACAGCGGGCAGCTTGCGAAGCAAAACCCTCATCGCTGCCTTGCCGCTACAACTTCGGGCAGCGTGTCAAGCTCATACCCCTGCGCCCCCGCTTTGCTGGGCTGCCACTTCCGGTGGCTTGTGCAGCTAAAACCACCCGAATGCTAACGTCCGCATCACAGCAGGCAACCCTAAACCCTAAACCCAAAACCTAAACCCTAAACCACCTCCTGCTGCAGCTTGAACCTCCAGCGGACCATCAAGTCTCGGACACTTCTTGCCATCTGCACTTGCTGCTGATTGCAGCTCTGTCAAGGTGCGTTTTTTGAAACTTGAACATATTCCGCGCGTGCGTCATCTCCGTTTTGAATTTCAGCCGCCGTGTCGTCCAAGGTTTTGAAAATCGCTACAGCATGAACTTCCGACAGTTTGTCAGTCTGGAACTCGTAGCCTGACATGGGTCCAGACTTAAGGAGCAGCTTTCTAAATCCAGCATGGGTTAGGGTTTAGGGTTTAGGGGTTAGGGGTTTAGGGTTTTGGGGTTTAGGGGGCTGGGGCTGCAAGAGCTGTTCAAGACTCTCAAGATTATCCTGCTGCTCACACTCCGGTTCTGCTCCTAATATAGGGGCCTTAACAATTAGAATAGGGTTTCGGCGCCAATTATACGATAACTTGGATAAGAGACCCCCACAATAGAATGGGTACGGGTAATTCTTTAGACCCCTATTAGCGAGCCCGCAGCTCGTAGAGCCTGCTATGCAGCTCAACCCGTTCCATCAAGACCCTAAAACCTAAATCCTAAATGAGGTTACAAGCAGATCGAACCTCGCCACATGTAAAAGTTCTGCTCCGGTACGCTACATGGGTAATTAGATCGCTAAGTGAGGGCACTATTTTGTGGACCCAACCAGGCCAGAGAACGACCCACATGAATGTTGAGCGGGGGTGGCCCACGTTCAGGACCATGATGTTTGTTGTTGACGCTTGCCATGGCGGTTCAGCAACCTTCAAACTCACAACCTATTGTGTTTGTATGGGGGACTACTATTTTTGGTCAGGCATCAGGTGGTGAACGGCCGGCGACCGTTCGAAGACATGTAAACCTGAGACAACGATTTCTGAATCAAGAGGCCGGAGCTGTTCAAAAGATTCAGTGCCCAAGGTCACGCTGACTGGAAGTACTCCGACAAGAACGGTGAGTGAACCAAACCTGGCGTCGACAGCTGGGCTTATAGATAAGGCTTCAAGGTTTAGGACTCAGGGTCTCGATTTGTTTTTGATTGGTTAGCTCAATTTTTGCTCCCGCCAGAACCTGTGGGACACGAGATTTACGTCTGGGTTTCAGGAGTTAGTGATGCTGTGTTTGGCAGCATCATGATCCTCAACAGGTCTATGATGTTCTGTGTATTGTCCGCAGTGCTGCAGTCCTCTTCCCGCTATCACTACGGATACTACGGATTGACATCGTGATAAAGCCAGCAGCAAATTTCTCACATTGTCGATGATCTTGTTGTTTTCTATTGGCTGAGTCTTGCAATCCCGAAACCCTCAGCTTCGCAGTTGCTGCAGCCAGCTCCTGCGACTCTGAAGACAGTTGAAGAATTTAAGGGCTAGGCTTCAAAAGTTGAAAAGTTTAGAGTTTAAGTATGGAGCATACACGCTCTTCCGTGCAGGGCCAAAGCAGCACCATGAAGAATCGGTCTTGTGAAGCGAGCGTGAGCTGGACCGAAGCACAGTAACATGTGCAAGTTGAGGTTGACATGTACAAGTGCTTCAATGACGGTCTTGCAACAAGCATCCGTGCGAAACTCAACACAAAACCGGCGAAACCCAGACCCATGACCTACGACACTAAAGCCACATAGCCCCGTGTAGTAACCCGCAACCTTTACAGGAACCCTGACCGCACTTTTCAAAAACCCCTGAACTCCAGAGAGAGGATGCACGAATGCAGGACTTTGAACCCTGAGCCCTGCGCCCCAAACCCAAAACCTAAAACCCCCTCAAGTCATCCTAAACCGGGTCCTACCATAATTGAAGGTATATTATTCCTGAAGTAAGGGATTTTGCAAGGTCTGCGTCCCTTGAAGTTCAAATCCAAGAGCCGGACACTGGATCGAGGCGTTCATGTAGCAAGTGTTTCCTTGGCGCACAGGGAAGCGCTCGATTCAAAAAGGTATGCTGTTCAGATATAGCTGAGTATGAGATGCTGCATGTACCTATGGATTTGGGCATATGTCAAAATGCATGAATATTTGGAGAGTCTTTGTGCAGTGGTGACGCAGTGAACGGGTGAACGTTCCGTGACTGCCGGAGAGGTTCAGGACATCTTTCTTATCTTCGTCAGGGCCGCCGCTCCTACAGATCATTGTGCAGGAAGGCCACAGACGTCTGAATAAATTTGGTTCTTCATCCATTCGTGTTAGATCTGAAGAGCCTCTGCAGTGTAGCACGGAGAGTCACGGCCTGTGCTTTTGAAATTTATCTATCTTGGACAGCCCATCCTACGGACGTGGTTTCACGTTCTTGGGTTGAGGTTCGCACTGAAAACGTATGACAAGCCAGATTACTGCCTCCACGTGGTGACCCAGCTTAGGCTGCAATATGCTGCAACTGCCTGGCCCAAACAGCAGCCAGCGTATACGCAAGCAAGATCCCCGGGAAAGAATTTGGTATGCTTCATGGTTGCTTTATCAACCCTAAACCCTAAACCCTAAACCCTAAACCGTCATCCTAGTCCGAGCATGCTTGAGCCCCACATGCTAATGTAGGCACCTTCATAGTTAGAATGGGGTTTTGGGATATAGTATACTATAAGAATAGTAATGATAATAAGGAACCACCCCGAACAAGTAAAATGTACTATGTTCATAAAAAGGAACCCCACAAAAAATAGTGTTGGCAACTATATATTCAGCACCCTGTATTAACGTGTTTGCCTGGGCTGCCCGACCCAGGTTTTGCAAGCCCACGTGCCCGTGGTTTTTGCCAGCATTGCTGTGTAGGCCTGATGAAAGTGCCGATTAGGGTTTATAGGGTTTTCCCAGAGGCCCCAAAGTAGTTCCTTTTTGGGATTACCTTATAGGATTCTATTTTCGAACTCCAAAAAGGAACTACTTTGGGGCCTTTGGGTAGGGTTTCGGAGGATTCTGACACCATAACCCTAAGCCCCAAACCGCACAGTACTTCACAGGTGGCTGTTCTGAACCAGGAGCAGGCTTAAGGAACCCACGTTACGTTTAAAGGTGCCAGTATGTAACATATATATATATATATATGTATATATATACACACACAATAACGCTAGCGATTTTCAATTGTTTCGCGGAGAGTTCCCAAACACACAACGCTAGCGATTGGGTGGGGAACATTCCCAAACGAAACCCACAGAAAAATCGTTGGTGAATGACCCTTAATTGGAGGTAGCCGGGTGGGAGGGAGTATGTAGTTATCACGTAACGTATGGGCAAGAGTCTGGGGTCGACTTTGTTGCGTGTATATACATATATATATACACATATATATATACATATATATATATATAATATTTCTATGTATTTGTTTATATATACACACACACCCGAGAAATAGTGTTGGCAAGTGTTGAGAGGCTTCTATATTACACCCCGAAGCCTCAAACAATGAAAGCCACAAGCCCCCAAAGCCCTAGGGTGGTAGCGGTGGTGGTGGTCACGGTTTATCGCAATTGAATATCGCAATTGAATAAGCTGAACCGTCTCGAAACACTAAACCCGAAATCGTAAACCCAGCCGTCAACCACAAACCCTACCTTAACCCCGAAGAACCGACATTTTTTAAGGACTTATATAAAGAATTCATAATAAGGAACCCTAAAAAGGCAGGTTATTCAGGGTTAAGGTAAACCCTAAACCTCTCAACCGTTCAAAGGCCAGACTCTATCTTGCTGGTGAGCGTGCTCGGCTTCCGACTGTTTCTGCCCAGGCTCACCTGCTGCACGCCCCGGTAGCGTAAGAGCAACCTGCCACGGCATGGTATGTGGGAGTTTCCGAAAATTAGGGGTGCCTTATTTGGGGTCCTTATAATAAGGATCCTATTATTTAGGGTACCATATTAGGGTCCCTATTTTCGGAAACTCCCATGTTTGTCGAGGAGAGTGGGCCAGAGAGAGAGAGAGAGAGAGAGAGAGAGGGTGGTGGCCTTCAAGTCTGCAGCATGCGATCGGATTAGACTTTACGAAATACACATTGTCCTCTCAAAGGCCCCGATCCATCCCAAAAACGGTGGGGGTGGGGTGGGGGATTTTAGGGTCCAGGGTTTAGTCTACGGTTTAGCATTTAGGGTTTCTGAGCCCTAACAAGGGTATCCCTTTGTAGAATTCATGGCTTTGGGTGTGTCGGACCAAGGCGTTCTCCGGCCCAGGAAGTTTTGCCAAATACCGTACCACTCGTCCCCAATCAAGCGAGGCTGCTCCCTTCGTCGAGAAAGCCCATATATGTCTATATGCACATACATACATATGGTGCACCCCCCATTGTGTGTGTATATATATATATGTGTATAGAGATAGAGGCTCACCCCCAGAGTTTATGCAACCTTGGCTTGCTCAAGACCCACAGCTTTATAATCTCTATAGGGATATTATCTATACATTGGGAAGTCCTTATATATGCGATACAATGTTTGATGAATTTCACCCTTCGTCCTGTGAATACGTTAAGCTCTCTGTGCATACCTTCCTATGGGAAGACCAGTTCATTCATTGTCTTCCTCTGGTTATTAGGCACGGAACTTTCCTCCTTGGCTACCATTGCAGACGTTACTATGAAAACCTCGAGCTATACAAAAACTGCTTATGCTGGCCTGACTCAAGATAAACGTGCAGAATGTACACATTTCTGCTCTTTCTGTTTACAAGGGGGTCCTAAATTGTTGTGTTTTCATATTTCCCAGAGGGTCCATATATACTGCCGTTATGGAATTAGGTCCCAAAAACCATCCCTATTATGGCTTTGGGGGCCTAATTCCATAATGGTAGTATATATGGACCCTCTAGGTTTGTATTGCCTTTACAGGTGCGCACAGAAAGGAGCTCTGACCAGTACAATGCTCAGAGGCCCCAAAGTAGTTCCTTTTTGGGACTACCTTATAGGATTCTATATATGAACCCCAAGAAGGAACTACTTTGGGGCCTTAGGGTAACAATTCAATAACAGCAGTTCGCAACACATGTGTATTCAACGTCACTAGTTGCGAGGCGTTAGTTTCTTACAGCGATTTTATTTCGACCAACAAAGGCATGGACATCACTTACTGAAACTGATGCAAAGACTTGAGAAAAGCTAGGCTCAAAATCAACATGCAAATATCGTTTGGTATAAGGAGAGGATACCAAGAACCAACCTGTCAGAATGCAAAGCTTACCAAGGGGCCTCATGCTGAATGTTATGATGTCAAGAATAACAATCCTCGAGCTTCAATGCGTACCGCATTACCCCATCATCCTATGCGAGCACAGGTGTGAATATTCAAAAACTAAGACTTGCTACTGCCTTCCCGCAAAAAGAAACGAAGTCTTGTATCTGAAACCCCGGGCCTGTTCAGGGCTACTTTTGCAGGCCCAAACCCTAAATCCTAAACCCCTAAACCCTAAGCCCTAAACCCTAAACCCTAAGCCCTAAACCCTAAATCCTAAGCCCTAAATCTTAAACCCAAACCCCTAAACCCTAAACCCTAAGCCCTAAACCCTACAAACCCTAAGCTCAAAGGCAAAGACGAATAAAGCTGTCGGCGGAGCTGGTGGCCATCGAGGAAATGCAGCGCATGGAGAGTCTTGCCTGATTATATTATATTCGTTTATATTAAATTATACTGCATTATATTAGTCTATAGAATATACTATATATACTATATTATATTGTATCAGTTTGTATAATATTCGACGGTATTGCATTAAATATATATATATATATACATGTATATATTAGTATCATACTATGTTTGATTATATAATATGATATTAAACGGCCAGGGGTTTGGGTTACAGGCTCTCGCGGAGGCTTTGTTCAGGGCTTTATGTTTCTTCATCGGCTGTTTGTGGGGTGAGACAAAGGCTCTGTAGGGATGCACCGGGAACTCCCCTGGCCTCTTGTGAGTGGTTTCTAGGTCTGCACATAGTCCTTGTCGCTCCTGTGACGGGGTTGCCTTCGCTTGTGGCGTTTTGGGTTTGATAGCATTTTGTCCAGTGTCTGGCCTGTGCTGTGTCTATGTTTATCCGATAAGGTAGGTACTGCAAGCCAAGCCACCCCGGATCCTATACACCTATGTATCCCTGAGGGTCCATGTACCCATATAGTATATAGTTTGGCCCCAAAGTACCAGAATAAGGACTGCATTCCGGCCACAGTATAAAGGGAACTCCAGAAAGTTGGAATATGGTTTCAGGGTAGGATACCTTATGATCTACCATACAGGCCTTAGGATGATCATATTCCAACTTTCTGGCTTTTACTTTATACTATTCGGGTACATGGACCTCGGAGACCTCACAAGGTGGGATGAAGGTAGGTGGGACTGAGGATCCCCTATATATAGACTCTTTCAAAGGGAAAAAGGAGGGACCCTTAATGGGGACCCCTACCCTATAATGGACCATATAATGGGTATATAATGGCTATATTAGGGGTATATACCTAGGGGTCCTTATTAAGGGTCCCTCCTTTCACCCTTGGACTCTTATTTGGGAATATCCCACCTACCTTCATCCTACCTTTTGAAGCCCCCGAGGACCCCAGGGTATGTTGGGGATATGGGAGTTCCCGAAAATAGGGGACCCTAATATAGGACCCTGAATAGTAGGATCCTTATTATAAGGACCCCAACATAAGGTACCCCCTATTTTCGGAAACTCCCATATGTACACAAACCATAAGGCCTTACGAGTGGACCTGCTATAGAAACCCTGCACTCGACTGAGTACGTACTTTGGAGCTTTGGCTATCAACCGAAACATTCACTATACTGAGCTTAGAACCCTAGCAACAATAATCATTTTAGCTGTGTCTGAGGGATTATAATAACCAAAAATTTAAAAAATATTTCTAAGTACTCCTAAGGGAAGGCCCTAAAACCCGAAACCCCGAACCCCACTCCTGCGATCCGGCTTCGAAGTGCCAAGTAGTGTTGACGGATACTTCACACCGGGTGGGTCGGAGAAACGCACAGGGCAGGGCAGAATGATAGGGTTTGGGGTTTAGGGATAGCTTCTTCCTTGACATCCAGTGCAGCTTTGGAGTAACCCACCAAAAACCTCCTAAAGCCCGGAGCCCTGCCCAAAACCGCAACAATGACCTGACGAAACCCTGAAACCTTGGCACTTGGGGACCACTGGAGCCGAAACCCTTACCTCGAACACTGTCCAGACCCTAAGAGACCCTGAACCCAAAACCTTAAGCCCTTCAAAGGGGAAAAGGAGGGACCCTTAATGAGGACCCCTACCCTATAATGGGCAATATAATGGGTATATAATGGCTATATTAAGGGTATATACCTAGGGGTCCTTATTAAGGGCCCCTCCTTTTACCCTTGGAGCCTTAAGCCCTGAACACTAGAAAACCAGACCCTGCGGTTGTTAACCCGAAGCCTATGCCTGAACTCCCAAACTTCCCTCTGTTCTGTTATACCCTCAATGCCCACTATTAAGGACCATAAGGGCTCTTTCCAGGACCCTCCTTGTACCCTCAAATAGGGGTATATGGTCCCAAATAAGGGGCATTTAGGGTCTAATAGAGGGTAGATGGGGGGTCTAGGATGAAAGGGTACTTGCGGGGGTCTTGACAAACCCCAAACTTCTCAACGTCCCTGAAACTGAGGGGTCGGCTCTCATCGACCTGGCAGCTGGCTTTGGGCGCTATGACATCCTTCTAACAAGGACTCCCGGATAATATTACTAGAACATTATACTATATGACCGATGTGATGTTATACTTTATCATGATAAAAGTCTTATGAAACTAATACTGCATCATGGTAGAATATACTAAAGATGTATTATCTACTTGTTATTACGTACATCTTACTATCTACTTGTTATTGCATACATATTACAGGTGTCTAAAAAAAGGATCCCGTTGAGCTTCCGAGTTCTGGATTTTGCACTTGAACCTCGGTGACGCCCGCTTCGAGGTCGTCGTTGATGCTGTGGCAGAGCACCTTTGCGAGTTTAGGGTCTGGGATCTAGGGATAGGGTCTAGGGTGTAGGGATTAGGGTCCAGGATTCTCTGCGGTGTATTTTCGGAAATATACGGGCAACAACATACCAAGCATGGTGTTGGGGTGTGCTTTGATACGACGCAAACCCCAAAGCCTTGCCCTGTACATACATACATATATATATATACATACATACACACACACACACACTCCATTGCAACAGGGATCCTGCAAGCCTTTTGCCCTTACATAACTTAAACAAAGAGGGCTTACTTACCAGGGGCATTACCCTAAACCTCAATCCATTAACTTAAAGCCTTATATAGATCTGAACAATAAACCCCCCCAACGCTAAAATGCAATTTCGTCCTGGGAACCGGGCAATCTCTGATGCCTCATCGCTAAGCCCATGGAGCTTGCACGCCACCTTTCGTCGGAACACGTCGCTTCGAAAAGGTCATCTTCTTCGGTTTATGAGTTTAAGCTTGAGGGCCTTTAGGGCTTTCGGCTCTAGGGTCGCTTTAGGGCTCTAGGGGTGCCTTCGGCTATTCAGGGGTCCGGTGGTTTCGGTTTCGGGGGATCTCCAGAACTTGTTGGCTTCTGGTTTGGGGTTTAGGGGTTGGGCTTACGGCTTCGGGGGGTAAGGCCCGCCGGGACCCCAAGAACCCCAAACAACGGCTCTAAGGATTCTCACTAGCAGGTAAATAGACGTTCTAGCAAAGGGTCGTTGGGGAGGGGTCTAGTGAACTAGGACAGCAAGTCCCTGGACAAGAAAAACGCAAACCCATCTAACACGCACTGGGCCCTGCAACGGTATGCCACTGCTCTATGTTCAAGCCTCTACATAGGGCCCAGTCTCGGGGGAAGAAGCTGTGCAGATACTTCGTGTCCCGCTAGAGTCCCCAAATAACCCATCCTAGAGACATGAATACAAGTCTAGTCATATGCATTGAGATATATATATATATATATACGTTCAATATTGCACGACACCCCTAAGCGCGATTGTGCGGCATGGCTCCTACCTGCTTGGCTTCGCCGCCGGTAGCAGCTCGGCTGATCCTGAGTAGCACGCAGGATGCAAGATGAGAGTACCCTAACCCCTAAACCCCTAAACCCTAAACCCCTAAACCCCAAACCCCTAAACCCTAAACGCCCTAAACGCCTAAACCCTAAACCCCTAAACCCCTAAACCCTAAACCCCTAAACGCCTAAACCCTAAACCCCTAAACCCTAAACCCCAAACCCCTAAACCCTAAACCCCTAAACCCTAAACCCCTAAACGCTAAACCCAAGGGAGATTCTAGCGCCTTCCTGGTTCCTTCTTGAAACCAGCTTCGGGGATCCAGAAACAAGCCCCATATTGCAGAACTACCCAAGTGCTGCTATACATACATATATATATATAGAGAGAGAGAGAGAGAGAGTCATATAGAAGATACATATATGTATGTGTATATAAATAGCTGCATACATATGTCTGTACATACATACTTCGGCCCGGAGCCTAAGAGCCAAAACGTGCTACAAGTAGACTTCAGAATTACATCGTGGCTACGCCTCTGCTAGCATGTCGCGAGCACTGTGTTTCAAAGCCTAAACTCCTAAACCCCAAACCCTAAACCCTGTCGGGGTTCACGGTCTAGGTTTTTTTAAGTGCATCCGACTTTTGATTACTCGCCAGCCCGCCTTGGGTTTTACAGCCTAGGGCTGCTTAGGGTGCCTTTCTCGCAGCCCCCGAGGAGGAGAACCAGTGCTATAGACCGTGAACTTCTCCACTGCCCAAACCTTGCAGTGAAGGGGCTTAGGGTTTGGGGTTTAGAGTTTAGAGTTTAGGGTTTAGAGTTTAGGGTTTGGGATTTAGAGTTTAGGGTTTAGGGCTTAGAGTTTAGAGTTCGGGGTCCAGGAAAAAACCAAGCCCCGGAACCCCATTAATTTCGGGCCTTAATAGCTAGGCTGGGGCTTTGGGCGTACATTCTAGTATAGCTATGGTGAGGAACCCTAGCCATAATGTTGGTATTTCTTCCGGCCTCTATAGTATCCGGTTACGGTGCACAAACCCCCTGCGGCACAGAAACCCCTGAACCCCCAAAGCCACAAGACACCCAAACGAGCCGGAAGCCGCGTACCACCCGACAAAACACCGAAGTCTTCTCCTCAAGCACCTATACATAAAGAGAGTGCCCTAAATTCCTAGCGTCCTAGACTTCTGAAACCTATCGTCTCCGTTATTATGCGTGTTATCATAGGACCCTAACCGTAAAGCTGGTTAACCCGAAACTGCTCTCTGAGAGGGCCGGCTGCAAGACGTGCTCCATGAGAAGAACTTGACCGGCCTGGAGACAGACGGAGAGCTTGGGCTTTTCCTGCAGTCTAGGGTTCAGGGCTTAGGTGTGTGATATGGTTTAGGGTTATGTGCTGAGGGGCGTAGGATTTTGAGGGTTGCAGATGGTTTTGGCTTTGGGGTTTAACGGTATGGCCCACAATGTCTTTCAGGGGTATAGCAGGGTGTGTGTGAAGATACCCTACACCCTACCTTAGCCCCAAACCTACCTTTTCAAGAAATATGAGGAAATCATAACCCTACACCCTAAACCGAAAACCCTTAAACCCTAAACCCTAAACCCTTAAACCCTAAACCCTAAACCCCAAACCGGAATGCAAGTTTCTTAGGGCCCAGGTAGACCCTAAAACCCTACCCTGGAGGGACTCGGAGCTCCAAGGCCCACCAGGCACGGTTTAGGGTTTAGGGTTTAGGGTTTAGGGTTTAGGGTTTAGTATGAAAAGCGTTTTGGATTCGGGGGTTTAGGGTGCAGGGTGTAGGGTTTTGGGGGTTTAGGGGTTAGCGGTTTAGGGTTTAAGGGTTTAATTAAGGGTTTAGGGGTTAGGGGTTTAGGGTTTTAGGGGTTTAGTCTGAAAGGGGTTTCGGGGTTGCACAGTTTAAGGTCTTGGGGTTTAGGGCTGCTTCAGCATGCTCGTCGGCATTAGGCGTTTTGGGCCTGGGGGTTGTTGGCGGTCGTAAGGGTCACAGTGCCTTAGGATTACAGAGTTTGGGGCTTAGGGCCACGAAGTTGGGGCCGAGGTTCATAGCTCTAGGATTGTAGGGTTTATAGGGTGTACATACCCCACACTCAGCAGCAAATCAGATCCACGATCCGACGGAATTAGGCCAAGGCTGATCGTTGCCGGCTTCATGCCCAAAGGGTCCTATGTACTGTTCTGGGGATACTTCCCTAAGTCATAAATGTCATAATAGTAACTCCTAATCTAGAAACCCTACATTCTACTATAAAGGTACTTTGGACCCCTTGGGATCATGCTTCCAGTCCGAGGATGATGAGGTTGACCACTGATGATGCGGCACAAGTGGCATACAAATTCGATGGATGGTGATCTGCTGCGAGATCGAGAGCGAGATCTACTGCTGCGTCGAAGAAATACCTTTAGGTACGACTTCGTCGGCAAGCCTTTGCACAAAAAGCTTTTCCAAAATTAAGTCCGCTAGTTCGCTAGGTCGAGGGCCGTCAGAACCTGACGGACGTTTTGGCGGTGACGACACGGGTAGTCTGAATTTCACGTGCTTTGGGCTCCGACTGTCCGGGTTTGAGAGATGATCCCTATTTGGGTAGTTGTCAAAATTATGGTCCCTTGTTGGGTGCCCTAAATAATAGGTGCCGTATTGTAATCAGGACCCAAAACGGGACCCTAATTTTGACAACCACCCATTTAATCCTAGCATCCCAGTGACCTAGTGGCGGCCTGCCGGTTATGGGTAGTGTGGGGTTGATGTAGCGTTCGGGGCCACATGCTACATTCGGGATATGTTTATATATAACTAGCATCACAATACACAATGCCAATAAGAATGGCAATAAGAAAAACAGTAGTCATAAACCGCAAACTGCCATCAGCACCATCATCATGATCATAGTCAGAACAATAAGAACAACAATCCAATACAAGCAGGGTTGGAAAAACAACAAAAATATTAACGATGAAGAAAATGACAGTACTAACAGCAATAATAATATTAATAGCAGCGTTAATACTGACCATAATATGTCTAGCTACTATGATAGCACTACTGACAACAACTACTGTAATGACGTATATCTAAACTAGAACCCTAAGGGTCCAAGTACTCCCTATTATAGGACTTTAGAACCTTTTTAGGTATCAAAAACCATAAAATAAGGACTACTTGGACCCTTAGGGGAAGCAGACTACCTAGACCCCCAAAAGTAGGTAACATAATGGCCCGAATCCTATAAAAGGCTATTATTCTACATACTTTTGGGGTCAGGTACAGACCAGGCTCCGACCTTGTCTGTACGATGTACGTGCAAGCGCAGCGGGTACATCTCCAACTCCACACGTCCATCGATCTCGATGACCTGAGGTCACAGAAATCCTAAACCCTACCTACCTCTTATGACCTAGCTTCTTAAAGGCTTGTAGAAGGAAGCCATGACAGCCAGAAACACCAACCAACAGCCGAAGGCTTTTCGTGGATAAATTGGTCAGTCAATCTGAAACCCTAAACTCTAAACCAAGCAGAAACAGAACCGGATTCTACTTGTTGTGTCATTGCCCCGAAGAAAATCCTACGCCGTTTACAGCATTGTTTAAGGGCTATAGGGTTTGGAGGATTTACGGCATTAACATGCGTTAACTCATATTGGGTTCTTACCTTTTCCTGTTTCTGCTTGCCAAGTCAGCTACTACTGCGGTGAGTGAGCAAGTATCTCGTTCAACAAAGCTGAGGGCGCTCTCACATGCTAGTAGAACCCTCATGAGACCCTCTACATCCTTAAAAAGAGCAGAAACCTTTTGTTGAAGGTGCTGTAGGAACCTGATTAAGAACCCTAAGGCTCCATGTGCCCATATAGTATGTACTTAGGCCTCAAAGTACCTATATAGGGACCCCTTTAAGGTTTAAGTATCTACTCTAAAGGTACATGGAGCCTTTGGGGAAGCCCCGGCCCTATATCCCCAAAATCCTAGGTTCATTTTTTGGCCCTCAGAAAGATTCTGGGCCTGGGTTTCAAAAAATGCCCAGGTTCCCGTACCCAGAGACTCCAATATCCCTTAACTAAGGAATATACCTTAAATTATGGTAGGATCCCTAATATGATTTAAGGTATATTCCTTAATTAAGGGTTATTGGAGTCTCTGGGTATCACCGTCTCGCCACTCTCCCAAAAGGATCGAAAGTAGGTAGAAAGTAAAATGAAGGGTTTCTAGAACACAAATTACTATCATGATTTGGGTAAGCATCTCCCCTGGGCATTTAAGTAACCAGGGAGAAAAAAGTATAAACTTGGTACTCCAAAGCCCAGTTTAGGACCCTTCGGGTCTGGTTCGGCTAAGAGCTTGGGACTCCCCACCTCTCTACCCCCCTTTGAACCATAAAAAAACATAGTTAGTATTTCAATACTCTCCTGGGTTTCAATATGATCAGAAATTTCCTGTCTATAATTACAGTATGAGGGGCCCCAAAACCCTATTTTAGATATTGAGTCCCCCATATTATCCAAGGGTAGAAGGAGGGAATTTTAATAAGGACCCCTACCCTATAATGGGCTATATAATGGGTATATAATAGCTATATTAAGGGTATACCCAGGGGTCCTTATTAAGGGTCCCCCAACCCCCAAACCCTAAACTCTGAGTCTGTTTAGGGTGTAGGTTCCAGAGTTGTTGGGAGCCTTTGGGTCCGGTTCTCAGAGCCTCGCCTTGCGTGGGAGAGGAGGGCCCTGGAGGCCGTAGAAAGCATGCAACGCTTTCCACGCGCCCTCGGTGACCACCTGCAGAGGCTTTGGGGCTTAAGGTTCAAAGGGTTTAAGTTTAAGGTTTAGGGTTTAGGGTTTAGGGTTTAAGGCTCCAAGGGTTTAAGGTTTAGGGCTTAAGGTTTAAAGGGTTTAAGTTTAAGGTTTAGGGTTTAGGGTTTAAGGTTTAGGGTTTAAGGTTTAGGGTTTAAGGCTCCAAGGGTTTAAGGTTTAGGGCTTAAGGTTTAAAGGGTTTAAGGTTTCGGATTTACCAGGACCCCAATGCCATATGGTGCTTAACAGTGGGTATTTGGGGTATATTAGAGGGTAGTTGAGGGGTCCAAGTAAGGCTTAAGGTTTAGGGTTTGGGGTTTAGGGTTCTCAGGTTTGTTGTAGCATTTGTGCATGGGCTTTGCAGGGTTTACCCCTAAACCCCAAGCACTAAACCGTTCAGAGTATGCACAGTTTGTAGGATCTGGAGGCTAGGGTTTCCCTGAGGGATCAGAACTTAGCAAGTAGGGCTTAACGTGGTGACCTCGACAAAGACCCAACAAAGTCCCCTGACTCGCTATGTAGGGTAGAGAGAGAAGAAGAATGCCTACGTGGTAAGCTACTGCCATTTTTGGGCCCAATAGCGAAAGCCCTCGTTGTGAGGACCTGGATAAAGAAATCATAGCAAGGAGCCCTAATCCCTGCAAAAGGATTCAGTCTACCCTATATGAAACACGAACCTGATTAAGGTTCAGGGGTTAAGGATTTAGGGTTGTTATATAGGTACCTAAGTAAGTAGTTATTTAATAAAAGAGGGTTCAGGATTTAGGGTTGCTAACTTGTGCCCAGGCTTAGGGTTTGAGGGCTTAGGAAGGTGTAGGGCTTCATGCCCAGAATCTTTTGCTGAGGACTTTTTTGAGGGGTTTTGAGGCTGGGGAGCATGGCTTGGGCTCAGTATGGTTCAGTTTTGGAGTGCAGCATCTTAGGGTTTAGGGTTTAGGGTTTACAGCATTATGATGCTGTTCGGAGCTGACTGAATCTGCATGAGTATGAGGGAGTACAGGAGTTGTGCATGAAAGTTGAGGGTTGTGAGGGCGTTGCCCAGGCTTCGGTTTCAGGGTCTCGGCGTTTCAAGCATCGGGCCACACGACTGAACCCAGAAGCCCCGGAAGGCCTAAACCGCCCAGCTCCCTAAACTCTTAAACTGGGTTGCAGTACCTCCTGAATCTCAGCACCCGGAACCTTTTCCATGTCGATTTCATATAAACCCTGCAACCGTCAACTCTAAACTCCAAACACTATAGTTATTCCTACTTTTCACAACCCCTAATATATACTCCTATAAGTACTACGCACCCTTACAGGCACCCTAGGATGCTCTTAAAGGAAACCCTGAGCTGCGTTTTTTTGCTGAGTTATCCGAGCATTCCCAGAGCAAGTCTTGTCCAGCCGGTCGGCCAACAGAACTTTGATTATCATGAAGGCACCCATACCCTCAGGGACCTTATTATGGGGTCCTTAAGGGGTCTAAGGCCCTAACTATGAGGTCCTTGGAGGGATGGGCTAAAGTTTACCTAGACCCCCAAACGTAAGTGAAATAATGACCCAAAACCTATAAAAGGCCAGTATCTGTACATCCTTTTGGGGTCCAGGTAGGGATTCTAGGGCTACGGCACCCCAAACCCTATGCATTACCATTCATGCTCCGCACTTCAGCTTGGGGCTCGGGGCTTTGACTTTGATACGTTGTTTGCTGCTAACCACAGGCCCCAAAGTAGTTCCTTTTTGGGGTTCATATATAGATCCTATAAGGTAGTCCCAAAAAAATACTGTGGGGCCTCTGGGTATCCATCATTGCAATGCAGCTGGCTATCGATGCAGAGTGAACGCGTTTATGTGTGCCTGAGGGTCTGAAGGGCTTTGGGGATCAGGCTCGAAGGCTTGGAGTTTTACGCGTGAGCCTGTGTTGAAGTCGTACGAAAAGACAAGTCGGTTGTCCTAAGGCTGACACCTTACGCCATGGTCCGTGGACCCCGTGAGATAATTATGAATATCAGCTGGGATTCGTAGTATGACTGTTATTGCTGTCATGGCTGCTGCCTGTTAAGCCCGTCAAAGTAGGGCTTAGTAGCCCAAAGGCTCCATGTACCTTTAGAGTAGATACTTAAGCCTTAAAGGGGTCCCTATATAGGTACTTTGAGGCCTAAGTACATACTATATGGGTACATGGAGCCTTAGGGTAGGTTTTCTGGGAATGCACGCGAGCGGGGAGGCGCGAGCCGACGTGTGCAGCCTTGGCAGCGCCAAAGAGGGTTTAGGGCTTTCGGGCTTAGGGAAACTTTACTGAACTTAGAACCCTAGTAAAAATTTTTAATTTTAGTTGTTTCTTGGGGATTATAATAACCAAAAATCAAAAAATACTTCTAAGTACCCCTAAGGAAATTGGCTGGTGTGTTGGGGTGTTCTTTGTTCTTATCAAAATATCAGCACGGGGTTGGGGGGAGGGGGGGGGCATTTCTTCGTTCCATGGTTCTTCAAGTCTTAAGGTTTAGGTTTTCAGGGTTGCGGGCTACAGGTCTTTAAGAGGGATCCCTGGGGATTGCCATCGGTTTAGAGTGAAGTTTCGGGTTTAGCTCTCAAGGCTCATTTCAAAGAAGCGGGCACGAAGACGAATCTGTGCAAGGCTTTTGGGGCCATTGACATCTCATGCACTCAATCCCACACCCTGCAAACCTACATCATCAACCCCAAACCCCACACCATAACCCAAACCCCTACGCCGCTAAACTCTACACACTACAAGTCGAATCCTGAATCCATCTATGAAGAATTCCTACTATTTGCTTAAGAGCCCCCAAAAAATAAAAAATATATTCCTTATGGGGGTAATATAGGGATTATTATTTTTATTTTTTGGGGGTTTCTTAAGCAAATGGTAGATTCTGCACAGCACAGGTTACCCTGTTCAGGCCAAAGGTTTAGGGCCTCAAACAAGGGATGTACACTCCAGGCGCCGGGCTCGTTAAATCAGGCACCCACTCGGCTGTCGCCTCAGGCTACAGGGTATCCGGAAGTTCGGTCTAAGGCGGTGCAGCTGACGAGGCTTTTAAGGCTCAGGGTTTGGGGTTCAGGGTCTATCCTCCTTACTACGATTTCAAATCTAAGCTTTTCAAGGCCCAGGTAGAACTCGGGCAATTCAACTTAAACCCGAAAACCCACAGCCCTAGCCCCCTAAACCCTAAACCCTAAATCCCAAACCCTCAACCCCTAAAGCCCTAACCCCTAAACCCTAAGCCCTAAACCCCCTAAACCCTATAAGCCCTATAAGCACTAAACCCTAAGCCCCTAAACCCTATAAGCCCTAAACCCTAAAACCCCAAAGCCGCTTGGAGGCTTCGAGCTCGGGGCTACAGGGCTGCTTCCAGGAAGTTCTCCGACACTTAGCAACCTTGTTTAGGGGTTTATGAGTTTAGGTTTTAGGGGTTTAGGGGTTTAGGTTTTGGGGTTTAGGGGTTTAGGGGTTTAGGGGTTTAGGTTTTAGGGTTTAGGGGTTTAGGGCTTCGGGGTTTAGGCCGTTTAGGGTTTTCGGTTTAGGGTTTAGGGGTTTAGGGGTTTGGGGTGGTCTGTTTGGGGTTTAGGGCCTCCTGATTACTGATTACGAATAAGCCCCTGTACATTCGAAACCTGAGGAGTTAAGGGTTGGTTTAGGCTTGAGGAGTTTCGGGTTTAGAGTCTAGAGCTCGGGGGGTTAAGGAGTTTAGGATTTGCGCTTAAGGTTCAGAGGGCTTTGGGCCGAAACCCTTACTCGCGCATGGAGCTCATCATTGCCAGAAACGCCAACGAAGGCTTGTAAAGCCTGAACCCTAGTCCTTGAACCGGTTGTGGGACTTATTTAAGGTGCAGGGCCGACGCGCATTCCCACAAAGTGTCGTGAGTGCTTCGGTTGATGATACAAATCCTGCATTACCTTAAGGACCCTAAACTATGGGAAGTATGGTATATTCCTGATTATGGGTAATGCAGGATTTATATCATCAACCGTTGCGAAAGAATCAGAACAGCGTGCCCGGGTACTCACTATTATGTCAGATCTCGCTTGGGGCCCTGACGTTTGGCGTATTGCTGTGCAAGTTGGCCGAACATAACCTCGGCCGCAGCCTGGCGGTGTGGGAATTCCCGAAGGGCCCACGCAGTCACACAGAATATACATTGGCGACAAAATAATGTACAGGTGATTTGTTTACATCCAAAATCGTATGTATGCGTGGGATCTTCAAGGGTCGTAGTAGTAGTAGTAGTAGTAGTAGTAGTAGTAGTAGTAGTAGTAGTAGTAGAAGTAGAAGTAGAAGTAGCTGTAGTAGTAGCTGTAGTATTAGTAGTAGTAGTAGTAGTAGTAGTAGTAGTAGTAGTAGTAGTAGTAGTAGTAGTAGTAGTAGTAGTAGTAGTAGTAGTAGTAGTAGTAGTAGTAGTAGTAGTAGTAGTAGTAGTAGTAGTAGTAGTAGTAGTAGTAGTAGTAGTAGTAGTAGTAGTAGTAGTAGTAGTAGTAGTAGTAGTAGTAGTAGTAGTAGTAGTAGACTAGTAGTAGTATGACTAGTAGTAGTATGACTAGTAGTAGTATGACCAGTAGTAGTATGAGGAGTAGTAGTAGTAGTAGTAGTAGTAGAAGTAGTAGCAGGAGTAGTAGTAGTAGTAGCAGCAGCAGCAGCAGGAGTCGTAGTAGTAGTAGTAGTAGTAGTAGTAGTAGTAGTAGTAGTAGTAGTAGGGGGAAATAGGTTTAGAAAGAGTGCTAGTAGTAGTACCAGGGATATTGCTGCTGCGACGTCTACAGCTATGGCTGCGAATCCGGCTGCAGCTTCACACTACGGTTTAATTGATTTCGTATTCTCCAGTCACAGCTGCGATGCTATTGAATCTGCTATTGTTCCCTGCATGCCTCGTTGGTTGCATGGAGCTTGGCCCAAGCATCCCAATGGCGTCGTTTCTCCGCCTTCGCAAAGGCGCACGTATGGGGGCAGTACTTGACATGCTGGTCTAGGGCCTAGATGTCG